GATCATGCAGGAACGAAGGCTGTCTCCTTATAAAGGTGGTGACCAAAAATCATGTAAATAGAACAATAATTTATATTTTTAATATAATATTAAAAAAAAACCTTACACGCGTGGAATCCGCGACATCATATGATGACATTCGTCCGATAAAGGTTAAAGGAACTCTTGTATTTTAATTCTTTTTATACATGGGATGAATTTTTTACGAGACGTTGTTTTATGGTTGTAATATATAATTATTTAAGCAATATGGTAGTTGGATTAAAGCTTTTTTAGTAAGAAACTTAAACTATCTAATAAAACAGATTTTATGTGATTAAGCCTACTTAAATTGTACATATTATTACTTGCATTTCTTATTACCAATTATACTCAATTTGTTATCTTATATTGTCATTGTTTAGTTACAGCTATTATCATTAATTATATTAACATTCTAAACTATTCTTATATTATAAACTTGTTTCTGATAACTGCTTCAATGTATAAGCAAGATGTGTACGTAATATCTTGACTGAATTTTTTATTCTAAAATTGTCAATGCTTTTACTGTTTTAAGGTTAATTCTTTTATGACTAATGTAAACATTATTTACTATTATTTATTTTTGACAGCTGCTTGATTGATAAGTAAGATGTGATTAAGCTGCTTAACAATTTCTATATCTATTTGATTGTTTTTCAACCTTGTAAAGATCTCGTGGAATGTGAATAAATGAATGAATGAATAGTGCGGACAGTTAACACAATCTTCACAATAACTTGTTACTGTACAAGCCTTACATTTTTCCAGCTTTCCTTCCATCTCCTTTTAACAACACACTTTAAAATACTACCTTGCAATTTGACTGGATCTTCTCACCTTCCAGAAAGAATGGGAACGTAGACTTCATATTATTCTTTCAGTGGTGTTTTCAATATCTTTGCCGTTCAGCAATCCCTTGAGAAATGTTTCCCTAAATTTTGTAACTGAAATACTTTCCTTCCTTATTTTCTTGCACCAACCACTACTGTGCCTACGATTACTTACAATGCTAGTTCTCTGCACCATATGATTGACTGTCAAAGGTTTGTTGAAGACATTTTATCTGAGAAATCAGCTGAAGATTTGTCCAAATCGCAAGGGTTGAGAAGTGTGATGTTTCTTGTCATGCCACTTCAATGCCACAATTCACATTCCATTTTCCATTGCTACCACATCACCCTTATTCAATTCTGCATTAATAACTTCATGTGAATTTCCTTTCCTCTCTGTATACAGCATGGCCAAGAATACCGTCTGCGAGTTCAACACTTGTGTAACAGCTGTGACTACCGCCCTTCCACATCCAAGCAGGGAACCCAGAATTTCAACACCATATTTGTAGGAGAAGATGCTATAACATGTGAACATGTTCTTCGTCTCTGGAGACCCATCAATCAAACACTGGCTGAACACCTTCACTCTAGCAGTCATACAGGGGGACAATTTGAAGGAAAAGGCAGTGATGTGGATGCATGTAAAATAACCAACGGATATTTTCCACCACAGAATAATACTGTTGGACTGAATTGCAACTTATTTAATAAATTTGGCTTCCATATTTTGATACTTCAAATATGGACAGCATGGACAACTCCATGGCATTATGTGATGGTGGAATGGTATCATCAATAGACCAATCTGAATCGTCAGGACCAGCTGGCAGACACTTGCAATCTTTCACAGTCATCACTTCTATAGTCACTTTCCAATGACCCAACACTTCTAAAGCAGAACAGGGAGTTCAGAAGTATCCACATGGATAATAAGGGATGTACATATTACTTCTTTTTGTATGAAATATATACGACAGCAAAAATAAATATATAACGAACACCTACCTGAATGCACTGTACAGCTCAAGAACCAGACATCCAACTAGCAAATAAAAAAAAAAAATCTCCGGTCCTAATTTCACTAAGAATGAATTACAATAAGACTGAAGGCTTGTGGTCTCATTCTAATAGGTGAGATCCTTTATAAAAGTGCAGTCAATTTCAGCTGAGCTCGAAAAATTCCACAAAGTTTGCATTCACACAATGTTGAAAACTTATCCTCAGGCCACATTGGTCACCAGTGTCCTCTTTAACATAAATGATGCCATCACACGATTATTAATATTTTTTTAAAATAAAACATAAAACAGCTATTAACAACAGATCTGAAATGATATAATGGTTCTCTCGCCTGAGAAAAACAAATTTCAGAATGCAGTGCGGTAGTCCACATGTTAACCTAACTCAAGAAACTGAATCTTGAAGGGATGAAGGTAAAGTTTTCCCTGTGCTTAATTATTTAAGCACAATGCCATGAAGACATACCATGGAGTGGCAACATAGTTTCACCCTCCTTGACCCTGGCACTATATGGAGGCGAGTGGTCAGCTTCATGCCCCGACCACTTTAATCTTGGGGAAAGTGTCCCAGTACCCACTGGATGGGAGGATGGGTGAGTCCCAGAGTTAGTCTGGACCCTGTGCAGAAGAGAGAAATCTTGACCCTCCAAGGAATCGAACCCTGGCCATCTAGCCCAAATTCCATCACTATATCAACTCTGCTATACTGATTCTCACTGAATCCTGGTACTATAACAATCATATTCTCTGTGGAGGAAATACTATTATCAAAGTTTAGATAAAGCTAGTTCAAGCCTGATCATCTGAGAAAATTCCCAGTGACATTAACATTCGGTGCTGAACATCCTAAATTTCAAAGTCTTTACAGTTTACACTAAGACAATGCATTCAGTTTCAAAGATATCTGCAAATCATGAATGCCTACTTTCTTATGCTCGCTGAACTCTTGAAAAAAAGTTACACAACTATCAACAGATATTTCATATTTCCAGTTTTTGGACAACTAAACACCACACACAGTATTCATTACCTGGGCTTGTTTCTTCGCTTCCTCATATGCATTAATGTCAACAGTAAAACCCTTCTCCTCACACATCAGCTGTGTTAAATCGACTGGGAATCCATATGTATCATACAGTCTCCATGCCACATCACCTAAACAATTGATAACATAACATATACCTCCTATTCAGAACTATAACTTCGAGATGCAGTGACTTTAATGAGCTGTAGAATTTTCAGCAGGTCAAGAAGTTTCATGCTATTATGAAACACAAAAGTTCAGAACTGTGTTCATGTCTGGACCCCATCAAAAGTCAGTTCACTCCTCTTCATATCTTCCCAACTTATTTCTCTACGATCTTATTTAACATCCTACCTAATGCACCTAAGTCTCCTTAATGACATCTCTTAGGGTTTGCAACAAATATTTTGTAAATATATTTTGATTCTCTGCATGTGGTGCATGAGGAAAATTTTCTGAAGTTAATTTAAGGATACCGTCAGTAACTCATATAATGCAGAGCAAAATGAATGGATAATAGTAAATAAACAAATGGAAAGAATGTGCAAGGAAGTGACCATGGCCTAATTTAATGTACTATCCCAGCATTTTCCTGGAGGAAATGAAAAAAACCACAAAGAAATCTAAACTCAGGATTGCTGCTGCTGTCACAGCCAAGATTCTAACTGGAAACCTCTAAAATAAAGCCACAAGTGTTATTATCTGGGTCAATCTGGTTGTGCTGCATGCAGTACAGTATAAATTATAAACACCCTCATTAAGTAATTTTCTCTCTTCCCCTATAAATTCCCCTCTCTTAGGTCCAGACACTCTACTTATCAATTTTCTCTTGAATATCTTCAACCTGAATTCCTCCCCAAAGACCAAGTATCGTATCAATATAAAAACATGGAAAATTAAGCCAGAAACACTGCCACTTGACCCACCATACTTGATGGCTCATGTGGTAATGAGTAAAAGTAAAAAAGTAAAGGTATCCTTGTTAACAGTCTGTGGAGCCCCATACAGTTGTGAGATGTTGAGGTTCCCACATTTTCTAGGCAACCGGCTCAAAGATGGTTGTCAGCCTTACGCCACACTTTACTCCCCAGAAAAATCATTTAATTAATTCCTGGTACTCATTTCTGTCAGAGACTGAGTCGACCCCAGGTCCATAGTGCAGCTGGAAGGATTAGGTCAATTGAAAAAAAATCCAATGATCTCATCGGGACTTGAACCTGCAACCTTCCAGCTTGTAGCATAGTGCTTCAACCAACTACGCTACTTATAAAGCTCTCATTAAGTAACTTCCTGTTCTTATGTAAACTCCTCTCCTTTAGGTGTAAATATTCTCCTTACAAAAGAGTTCTCACGTCTTCAATTGATGTTCTTTCGCATGAATAGGAGACAAAGCTTCATAAAACAAAAAAAACAAACTCTGTGAGTTTAGTCTGCAAGCAAACTATACTGACCACGTGACTGCCACTTGTCGGCAAAGTTAGTGCCAACTTTTGCAGATAGAAGGTGTCGCGTGGTCAGTGCAAGGAATCCCCACGGCCATTAATTTCGGTCTTCTAGACCAGAGCCGCTATTTCCTTGAAGTAGCTCCTCAATTATCATCACGAGGCTGAGTGGACCCCATTCCGGACCCATTACTTCTCAGAAAAGCCTAGTACCACTGGGAATCGATCCCGGACCTCTGGATCTGTAGCCAGGAACTCTTAACGTCTAGACCACAGAGGCGGTCCTAGACAAAGCTTCATACCAGCATAAAAGAAGGAAACTGCCGTTTGTGATATACTCAGTCTAGAAAGGCACTGGAAATAAAAAAGGTTCTAAACTGAATAGTATGCATTTCCCACATTTAATCAGTTTTCAATTTCATCGTGACTATAATTTCCATTTGTTACTGTTATTATTAAGTGCTTGAACCTTGTCACATTATTTCAGAATTCATAAATAATTCTTAAATTACAAATCTGACCTGTATTCTGGAAATATGTGGTTTTTCCCCTTTTACATTTTATAAGGCAACATCCTTAGTAACTTCTAGTGGGGTTTGTGCATGTTCTTACCAAGTATGCATACTTAAGAGTCTTAAAAGTACAACAAATGATTCAAGTTATACCTGGAAGAGTTTTAGAATTTCCCAGCTTCATAATGGTTCGGTTCAGCAAGTTATGACCTCGAGTCAAAGTTTTAAGGAACTGTGTTTCTTCTTCATTGATCAAATCTATAACACTCTGTGGATCCTTCTTAACCTGTTGAAGAAATCATACCTGTATCTGTATCATGGAAACTCTAAACAAAACTGCATCACTTGTAGAACTATATACACTGGTACATGGTCAGAATGAACTGTTTTATTTATTACATTTTTATATCATCCTGCAAGTATACATTAACCTGATATTAATTTTGAGCATCCTGTTGCACTAGTTGGGCACCTGAAATATGCTGTCACATTTGAGTGGGTATGGACTAATGGATTTATTGACCACCTATACACGCCACTCAGACCTACATGAAAATGCAGCACTACCACTGATCTCCACACTATACAAATCACTACCATACTCTAAGTCTTCTCAGTCTGTTACAATCTTCACTAGCCATTGTTCTGTAACAGATATTAACAATGGCTATTCCTCTGCTTTCGTGCTCAAGTCCCATACAGAACTCCTGTCAAATGTCAACTGAACCTGACTGCCCTGATTATCTTTCTTTTAACTCCTTGACACTGACCACAGAGAAAACACTGTTTATTCTTGCATGCTAACGAATTCCATGGGAATGTGTCTGTGTCACCAAGCAATGGGTTTAATAATCCCATTTACCAAGAATCTGCTGCCCTAGTGATGGGTGTTGTCACGTTCTTTATTTCATTAAGAACATATTTACTGAGCCGTTCCGAAAAGTGAATGTCATCTCAGAGCAATTTGCTAGTAATGGCTGTTTCTCTGGCTCCACCACAATATACATAATACAACCTTCTTAAATGTAATACTCCGCATATTACTGGTTATACACCACTCAATCACGTTTCATACATACTGTCACATGACAGACTATAGACAGGGTTTGGATTGGTAACTGGATCTACTGAACACTTAAAGAATGTAACTACAAATAACTACGACAGTCTCGCTGAGTTACACATTCCAAAGATCACTTTAACTACAGCATGCATAAAGTCTTCTCAGTCTTCCCTAGCAGCTGTTCAGTAGCAGCTGCAAACGGCAGGCATTCTTCTTAATCTGGGTTCCCGCTCTCTCCCCAACTCTCGACTGACTCACTCACCAACTACTCTTCATTTCAATAAACTCAACTGACTGAATGACTCACTGCAGCAGAGTCAGAACCAAATTCAATTTATAACTGGCAGTTCACTGCCAATTACTTTATCTTGGTGCCAAGCCCATTGAGACTCATGACCAGAAATTTTTTCTTTTTGCAACTGAACCTTTGTGGTCATAGTCCTTATGTAATATCCCCTCTGACGAGATGGCGGGTTTGTCTCTCATCAATAGACTTCACCGTTGTCAAGTGTACACATCACACATATAGCATGTTATGGAAGATTCCTCCTTGTGCACTACGAGTATATACAAGACCTCTGTCAGTCAGGGCTTTGCAAAGCAGATCATGCCTGTAAGACTTGAGGTTTTCACGGAGGTGACTATGAAGAAAGCAGTCCTCTGGGATATGCCACCGTGTAGATGTAGTGTTAATTGACGTTTTAAATGAACATATCGCCTCCATCTTCACGGTAGAAGGAAAANTTGAAGGAGCATCAGCGGCACATCCATCTCGAACATCCGGACAAGTCAGCTGTAGCTGAGCACAGCATCAATCTGGGACACCGCATTCAGCTTCAGAATACCTCTATCCTCGCCACCAAGACCCAATATATGGGTCGCATCATTTGGGGAGGCTATTGAGGCTGAACACCAGCCCAAAAATATGAACAGGGGGGGGGGTTGTCTCAGCAAGTCATGGAAGCCTCTCTCATCTGTTCTATAAAATAACCCAGATCCACAAGGCTAAACAGGCCATGACCACTCACATAGCAACCCCCCAGCTTAACGGTTAATGCCCTTCCTTTAACCTTGCCTTTCTCTCCCCTGACACACTATCATATACAAAACCTTGCTTCTGTCCCAGCCCCTTCGCCCCTCCTACTCCACTGATTTCCCATGTAGACCTGTCCTCCCCCCTTCTTCCTTGCTCTCACATAGCTGAATTTATTTTCCAGCACCAGTCTGCTTGTACCGGTTCTCATGGTCTCTTCACTTGCAGATTTTCGTATTTTTCCTTCTAGCCTGAAGATGGAGGAGATACGTTCCTCTGAAACGTCGGTTAACACCACATTTACATGGTGCCATATCCCAGAAGACTGCTTTCTCCTCAGAACATGTCTGTTTTACTTATCCTGTGCCACAATGACAGCTTAGTCACTTGAATGATTGTAAGCTTGACCTCCGCAAAGTTTAAGCTTCTTATATTTTCTATGTCTGACTTCACCTTCAACTATGCTGTGATCATGCTCATTCTCATGATTTTATATATCCTCTCCTTGTTGCCTACTCAATTTTGTTACATAACCGAATACATATGGAAGGTTGAAAGCCGTGTGCAAATTGTGAACCAATGTGCACCTTGGAAATTTCCAATGGGGCTGAGAGCCCTGTTCCACAGACACTGCAATTTTAAGAAATGTGTGTCTGCCGCTAATTCTCATGAGGGGAAGCTTAAGTCATTACTGATCTAATCAGTGCTTTATGGAGTGTCACTTTAATACTGGCACTTAAACACTCACTTATGAATAGGGAGTAGATTATAACAAATGTTCTGAAGGCCTTGGCTTCAATCATTTCTGTGTGTAGTCTCCATGTAATACTCTTACCAAAGATTACACTGACATATTTTACTTGATTTAGGAAGGGGATATTCCATCCATTCAATGAAGCTGAGCCTCAGGGGGCCTAAGTCTATGAGAAAAGGACATGACCTGAGCAATCATTGATTTTTATGCTCCAGCACTCACACCACATCCCAATAGCATTGATACCTCACTGCAGCTTTCTGAGAACATAACTCTCTTTGTGGTCTGTCACATATATACAAGTTTCATCAGCAAAGAGACCTAGATAGACCAGGTGTTTTGGGCATATCATTTATATACGCGCGCGCGCACACACACACACACACACACACATATATACTGTACAATGTGGGGGACAGGACAGAACCTTGTGGCATCCCTACTTGTATATTGCTTCTTGTAGACATTTCACCTTTGACCAAAACACTAAATTTTCTCTAAGAGAGAAAAAAAGCTAATAAGCTTGATTAGACTGATTGAAAATTTTAATTCAGATAATTTCTACTGCAAGCCAAGTTGCCATGTTGTATCAAAAGCTTTTCAATACCCAATACCACAGCTGTAGACATGTTATTGTTGAAATTTAAGGTTACATGGTCCATAAGCCTCATACACTGAAGTGTTGTGGTGTGACAAGCATGGAAACCAAACTGGCTTGCATTAAGCAGGCCTCTTTCTTCAATGTGCCTTTGGACTCTTTTCAGAGTAACTTTTTAAAATAACTTGTCTGTTTTAGACAAGAGGCTAATCGGGCATAAATTCTGAGGAAATTTTGGGTCCCTACCATGTTTCATTAACATTATAAATTCTGCTTCCTTCGAAAGTTTTGGAAAATGGGACAGATGAAAGCAGTGATCAAATAAATGTGTCAGAAATACCAGTGGTCTTCTTGGAAGATGCCTATGGCATTCATCTGGAATACCATCAACTCCACAAGCAATTCTCATTTNGAGGTTTTTAACCTTTAAGGGATGGGGCATTTTAATTCCAGTAGTGGTAGCTGGACGGAGTTAATTTAAATGCCCGCCACTGTACAGTAATAAAAATTGTAATCATGTTACTCAAAATGCTGTGATTTCTACAATTTTTGTGATAAACGAAATAAACGCTGCTTTTATCTAGAAACAATATAGAATCAGATATTGTAATTTAAAGTTTTAGAATCTGTAAAAATTGTTACACTGATTCCAAAAAAAAAATTTTTTCCCAATTTTAAGCGTCTATCCACAAATATGCAGTCACTTTCTGCAATATAAATGCCTGCTGCTGATCTCATTCCTACTGCTACTGGTTTATCTTCAAAGGGGGAGGAAATGTTTATGCTTTTATAGCACTCCGAACCTATCTGTATATAGGAGTGAGGTCATGTCCCTCAGAGACTGTCTGTGTATACACGTATCTGCCACACAAGAAGTACTGTTAAGCTTCTTAGAAAGGCC